GCAAGACCCAACTGTGTACTGTCTGCAGCATATCAACTTTGAATGCTAATGACAGATATACCATCTAAACAGTAACCAACATATTATGGGATTTATAATGTATGTAGAAAAGGCAAAACTGTAACAACAGTAACCAGTCAATGGTTGCCAGGGGTCAGAGAGGAGTTGACTCTAAAGGGGCTCAGGGAACTTTTTGGGGTGACATAAATGTTTCATATCTTGATTGTGGTGTGGATACATGGATGTTTACATTTGTCACACTCAGAGTTCAAAATGATTGCAATAAAATTGTTTTTTTAATGAATAAAATCGATTTTTAAAAGTAGAGAAGAAATTTCTCTTCAGATATTCTTAACTGTATAGCAGATAAGTTGGAAGCAATATAGCAGGTTATGTTAGTCTTTTCTAAATGCTGGTCTGAAGACCAGGCTGTGTTAGATTGATTTCTGATTCAGTAGATCTGAGGTGAAACTCAAAAAAGTTGGTTTTAGAATTTTGTGGTTTGTTTGTGGGTTTGTTTGTTTTTTCAGTTTTGTGGGGGGTTTTATGCACAGCCAAGCTTGGGAGCTCTTTAGTTATATAACTCTCATTGTTTTTATTATAGGAAGCACACCAGTTGTTCAGGAGGAGAATCCCATTTAGATTATACATAAGCAGTGTGGTTTTCCTGAAATCTCATGTGCTCTATTTTGGTAAAAGAATATACCAACAGGTCTTCAGTCTGCAGTGGCCTGAAGGGCAGAGATAGGGTCTGACTCATTTTCTCTCCACATCATTTACCATATCAGGCACTTGTTAAGGTGTCAGTCAATACTTGTTGAATAAGTGTTTTTGAACAACTGTGGATTCTTTCCAGAATGAAAAATGTCATTTAAAAATGTATTCATTAGTAGTGAAATGTATATGCCATTAAGTGGGAAAAGATTAGCTCCTTCTCAGGCCAAGTTCTCTGGATGGGCACGTTTGTCCATCTGTTTAGTAGCGATATCATTCATTCACCATTTGTTCAACAACGATCATTTCTTGTCAGTACCAGACACCATCCTAGGTATAGTAGTGATCAAACATCTACTCTCTGTGTTTGTGTAGGTTCCCTTCGAGATGGAGGGACTGAGAAACAGATTTACATATATGTCTGGGGTGGGAAGGGATTGCTGTTCATACCGGGTGACTGGGGAAGGTTTCTTTACATGTGAGTTAAAAACCTAAAGGAAATGAAGGAGGAAGCTCTGCGCATATATATGTATGGGATCAGAGTATTCCAGGGAGATAGAGCCCCAAAGCAGGAACAGGTCTAGCAAGGAGGCCAGTGAAAGGAAGCAGCTTGGGCAGAGAGAGGAATAGGAAGGGTGTGAGCACAGGGTTAGCGGGGACCAGCTCAGAGACAGCCTCAGAGACTATCATGAGGATTGTAGGGCCGTGTTTTGTGTTGAGGTAGGAAGCCCTTTTAGGTTTTAGGCAGAGAAGTGACATGGGGTGATTTAGTTTTAAAAGTGTCATTAAAAATTGTTTTTTAATTAAAAAAATAATAAATGTATCACTTTAGTTGCTGTGTTTAACACAGACTGTAATAGGCAAGCACAAATACAGAGAGACCAGTAGCCTTGTTGAAGAATGTGTGCGCATGATCTGGCCAGAATGCATCCTCATAAACATTAAATTGGTTTTATAGTTCTACTTACTACACTTTGGGAATTACCTTCTTTCAGCTAGCATTTACTCAAATACAGGTAAAACTTGCTGCAGTAACAACAAGCTATTTCCTAAATATGTCAAAATACCCCACTCGTTGTTGTATAACAGTTCGGTTGATTACCAATGGATAATAGTACCTTGTATTTATGGAATATTTGACAGTTTAAAAGCAGTTTTACATTCCTTTGGGTGGGGGGAGCAGTTTATTTATTATCTCATCCAGTCCCCACAGTTCTTTAAGATTGGCAGAATGGCTATTACTATTTCCCTGTAGTGGTAGAAATTAAAACGTCACCTGCCTGGTGAAATTCACATGCCAAGTTTGTGGCAGGGCCAGAAAGACCAAAACACAGATCCTCTGCCTCCTAGCCTACATCCATTGGTTTTGTTTAAAGGAGCCTGTTATGTTCAAGTGATGTCTCCAGATATTAGTGCGAGGGGAGTACTTAGCAAATTTAGTATATTGTTTAACAAGCCATTAACCAGTGATCAAGACACTGTTGTCGGAAGGGATGCACACAAGGATGTGTGAAGCGTTTTCCTACCCTGTGAACTTATTACTTGGGGTGGTGACACCTCCACCAGTAAATATGGTAAATAACTACTAGTCAAACAGTGTCACATGCTTAGTTCCAAACAAATGGCACAGACAGTAAATGCGTTAGCAGTTCAGAGGAAGCCATGACTTTGTTGACCTGAGTAGTTAAGGCAACAGGGAGAGAGGGTTCTTGAGTTGAAATATGGGCAAGATTCAATCAGGACATATCGAGGAAGCATTTCTCAACTTCGGAGCAGAAGGGAGAGGGGAACACACAGCATGAACAAAGGCTTGGTGATGGAGGGTTTTGTTTCTATCGAGATAATGATTAAACTGGTCAGGTAGAGTACAAAGCTTGACATGAGGATGACTGGTGTTTACTGCTTTCACATATAAAGTGTTCCTGAGAACTAGGCTGAGAGGTGAATGTGCAAAAGTCATAGAGCAGGCTGGCATGTAAGTTTAAAATGATGTCCTTAGCTGAAAAATGCAATGAAGTTCTTATTTACACCTGCCTTTTAGAGTATAATCTAGCAGTTCTCTTGTTTTATTGTTTCTCTCTCTATTGATCCACTTAAGTCAAAAGTGTATCTGATTAAAGCTAAAGATTTGTTAATTTTGGCATACCTCATGATTTCCAGGCAGCTCCATCTTCCAGGAGCTCAAAATATTTGTTCATTAACTGTCTCCATCTGATGTGGCAGCTTAAGAGGGGTTTAAAGATGTCAATATATAAAAGAGTAGGTTGTCCAAAAGAAAAATATTCTAAGTTGAGTGCCTGTAATGAGAATTGGATTTGGAAAATAAGACCCGCATATGTGGAGTCTAACATTTCTTTCAGTTCACCAAACATTTATTGAATGTCTAATGGTGCTGTAATGTGTATGTATTGTGCTAACTAGGAGTTCACATTCAGGTTGGCGGGGGAGGCCAGGGAATATTTTACTTCCTCACCAAGAAGAGAAATGAGGTAGTAAAAGTGGATATTTAATACGATGGTGTATAAGATTTATGTTCAAATTGAGGAAGGTTGGAGGCAGAAAGACTAGTTGGGAAAAGAACCTATACCAGCCGTAGGCATGCTAACTTGTTTTCATAGAGAGAGTGCCCCTAAAGATAATACATAGTATGTCTTGTATGAAGGTCATGCGACAGAGACATGTTCTATAGCTAACCCTGATCACTGAAATAGAATCATCAGCATAAAATAATGCTTTGTGTTTATGGTTTCCATTCGTTTATTCTCTCATCCATTCAACAAGTATTTATTAAGCACTTGCTATATGCCTGAAACTCTTCTAGGGGCTGGGAATACAGTAGTCAGTAAAAGAAACAAAGTCCCTGCCTTCATGCCATTTACATTCTAGTGTCAGCCAGGTGACACCAAATGAGCACATGTATGAGAAAGTGCCTGGCACATTGCCTGTCACATAGGAAGTAGAGTTCAGTAATTGTTTACTGAGTTTGAACTTGAAGTTTGGATTAAGTACCTACTGTTGGCAGGATACTTTGTTAGGGTACTCTTTGGAAAGTGAAGGCTTGGGGTGAGAATACTCACATGTCTTTTAAAAATGTTACATAGGGGCGCCTGGGTGGCGCAGTCGGTTAAGCGTCCGACTTCAGCCAGGTCACGATCTCGTGGTCCGTGAGTTCGAGCCCTGCGTCGGGCTCTGGGCTGATGGCTCAGAGCCTGGAGCCTGTTTCTGATTCTGTGTCTCCCTCTCTCTCTGCCCCTCCCCCGTTCATGCTCTGTCTCTCTCTGTCCCAAAAATAAATAAACGTTGAAAAAAAATAAAAATAAATAAAAATAAAAATGTTACATAAAAAGTTGAGTCTCTTGTTCAGTTTTGGAATAATGCAGGTTGTATAATGTATTAAATATAACAAGTTGTCTGTTCCAGACCACTTTCGCAGTTGAAGATGAAATGTTGAAGCAGGTGCTTTTCTGTACCGTCAACAGTGGTGTGCTCTTATCCTGCTTGGATGGTTTTTGTGGGCTCCCGGAATTCCTGAAATGGCTCATTGTTGTCACTGACAATGCTTCACAGAAACCCTTTGTGTTATTATTTAGCAACTGACTGCCTTGGCAAAAGCTATGTCAATTCTTTTGTTAACTATAACAGCAGTCAAAAGTGATGTAAGGGGAGAGAAGGAGAAATGAAACCATGATCAGTAAGTGCATATATGCACACACATCTACCCTCGCCTTTAGACCAATTTCTGAGTGTTATCTGAAGTAGCATTTGTCACATAAAACCAGGAGATAGCAATAGTGCATTCATTTTGTCATTGCTTCATATAGATATGTCCTGTTACCAGCAACATATGAATGATTTTTTTTCTCATTGGCTTCCCGTTGGCCTTACTGCTTCTTAGATGGGAGGAGTAGTTTCACATCAACAGCAAAGCCAAACCTTTTTGTGCAAATTCTTTGCAAGATTACATTTTCTTATCTACCTACTTTTCCTGAAAGCCTGGGGATAGGATGATGGATGTATTTACTGTTGTTGGAAGCCAAGGTTTTATTTGACTTTCACTTGAAATAAACCCTTGCTTCCATAGAAACCAGAAATGGTTGGAAGTGAAGAAGTTAGGACCTTACATTTTGCCTCCAGATAAAATGCTTTGCATTAAATTTGTGATTAGAATTCCAGGTTGAACAGATGATGTCATTTCTGCAATATGGTATGGTGTGCATGTGTGCTTTTTTTAAACGTGCACTGTAGATACAGACTTAGTTATATGGACTTTTTTGGTCCCCTTCTAGATGTGAAGCCCTCCAATATGCTAGTAAACACAAGAGGACAGGTCAAGCTGTGTGATTTTGGAGTTAGCACTCAGGTAGGTCTCTTTTTCCTCCCAATCTGCTCTCCTGTCTGCAACATTCACTTTTTATTTTCAGTCCACTCTTCGGATTGAAAAATCACCTCGCTGCCAGACAAACAGAACTCTGCATCTTCTCCTCGGCTGGGAGCGTGTTATTCATTTTTAATCTCCGAGCGAGTTTCCTTCATCAGAATATGATTGTTCATTGTTTAATGACAGTAAAAACTGCTGATATTGTAATTACTACTTACGAATAGCAAACTTCATTGAGATGCAGCTTTGATATGAAAGCGTTTTGACCAGACAAAAGGGAGGGCAGAGTGGGAGCTGTGCCTGGGGAGCCCAACTGGCCCACAATAAAAATTAATATTGGGAGGAACAATGGTGGAGGGCCATTACAATGTGCAGCACAAATTTTAATTAATTTCCATTTTGGGCCTCCCCTGAGAACCCCGGTGATAGTGACCCACGAGCGTGCTGTGATGTTGATTTGAATTGCAGCCACCTTTACTCCCAGCCAAACACGAAGACCAAAGCGAAGGTCATCGTTGTATTATGAGTTGTCAAAGTCTGTTATCCCTCCAGCGTATTTAGTGCCCGTTTCATTCTAGCAATGCATGGGCGCCATTCACATCTTGAGCCATCTGACTGAAAAATGAGTGTGTTCAAATTCTACTTCAAATTGACATTTTATATCAGGCGGGTTTGGGGTACTAAAGCGATAAGCATCCTGCTTAAGTGAATTGTTTAAGGTTATCTGCTATAAACTGTAATGCTGTGCTTGTTTAAATTGGAAATCACATTCAAAAGAAAAGAGAGATTTAATCATTTTTAATGCCTTTGTAGATAAATTTGTTCCCTTTTACATAATTTTTAGTTGATTTATAGAAATGATGATTGTAGGTTAAATGAGGAATAATTGCCCATTTTATTTCCACATTATCTTTATATTGTTCTAACAGACTGTTTTGTCTCATAGCTGGTGAATTCTATAGCCAAGACGTATGTTGGAACAAATGCTTATATGGCGGTAAGTAAACTTATGCAAAAATAACATTTAAAACCAACATCTTTATCTTTATGTACTTGGTAATGTAGAATTCTTGAATTAATTCCACAGCTTTATCCTAACAGATCATAAATTACAAAGTCAATCCAGTCATGATCTGATTTTTAAGTCTTTCTAAAAGGCATTAGATTTTATCCAGGAGCGACCAACTTATCTGCTTAGTTGACTTAACTAGTTGGTTCGAGGGTGAAATTGCTGAGTTTTGAAGTTTAATCCCACAGAAAAATTGCACCTTACAGCACATTGGCCGCTTTGCCACATTGCTTATTTAATTAACCCTCAAGTATCCCAAAATGTCAGTCAATAAGATTGGCTGTTTTTTCCAGAAATACAAACATGCTTTGTCACTGGATCAGAATTAAATTATTGATGTGATCAGCTCTTACTTATGGATCTCTGAATGTAAAGGTTTAGCAGGAAATTCTTTTTCGAACTTATACACCTATATTCTGTTTACTTGTTGGGTTCATTCCTGTCATAAGATAATTTATTAACTCTTCTGAAATAAATTTACCAAGTATAAAAATTAGAAGCATAGAGCTGTTTCAAAGACCCAAGCTGGACTTGACTTAGACCTTTTCCTTTTTCCTACCTTTTAACTAAGGGAAGTTTGGGGGGCACAAATGCTATAATTAATTTCCACAATCATTTCAAGAGTGGGTGATTGGGAGACACAAGCAGGAAGGTTATCTAATATCATTTTGGAGCCAAGTTTTGTTTTAACACCTTAAGGTCATTTTTTTAATGAGGATTCTAGATTTATTTAGTCTGTTTTACTTCCCATAGTCTTTTTTTTTTT